AGTGAAAAACGTGCAAACTTGAGGGACCAAAACTGTAATTATCCCGAAACACCTTCATCAAGAGAGAAGAGAAGCCTCTCATAAAGAGAGAAAAAAAAACACCTCTAATTTGTTAAAATTTAAAGATGTTTCTTTTTTTTTTTTTTTGATTTTTTTCCCAAACAAGTTATTAAATGATTTATAAGATGTTTTGAAGAGCTGATAAGTATAGCTACACACCCTCTTACTACTGTTAAAAAAATCGGGATACACCTTCCGTTTAACTAGCACCTCGTTAGATCCGACTAATTAAACTATAATAAATAATTCGTTTGTAATTTGATTTAATTTGATTTGTTGAATTTGATAATGATTTTATTTTAGTTTTAGATTTATGATATAAAAAGAAAACACGTTAGTATATCAATATCCATTGGGTGTCTTAAACCTTGAGACCCACCATATTTATGAATGTTGGACTTGATAATAAATTGGTCAAATAAGTTAGGCAAAGGCATTTAAAGAGTATTCTAAACAAATATGTGATCAACGTTTTGCCACTAACACTCTTGAATTGTGTGGCATTTAAGCCCTTCATCTTTTTCCCACTAGTTGCTCTGTTCAACTTAATAAATAAATAAAGGATTTTTTGTTTGATACGAGAAAAAGACTCCATTTGTTGTATTTGAAGACTCTAACTAAAGTAATCGGACTATATATTTATTATAGATTAATCAAAAAAAAAAAAAAACATTTATTTTATTTATTATTTTTCATGGTTGAAATATTTATTTTTGTTGTTTTTAATATTTATTTGTGTTATAAAAAAATAGAAAATAAAATATTTTAATATTTATTAGAATTTAAAATAATATGCAGATAAAAAAATAATTGTGGAAAATATCATACATAAACATTAAGCTATAATCAATACTATAGTATTACAAATTCACAAGTCAATATATAAAATAATTTTATAGCTCTCTACTCTATTGGATATGCTCTTGCAAAGTTTATTCACATTAAAAACTTGGTTAAATTACAACCAACCCCTGGGGTATGGTCAAATTATGAAAAAATCCCTCATGTTTGGATAATTACAACTACCTCTCAACTATAAATCTTCTTACATGTCCACCTTTATGGTTTTAAAATCAACATAATCTTCTAGATTATATGGAATATTCTCTAATTTGTACTCGTTTTGCCCAAAAATGTAGTTTCTGATGCACCACAATCTGATATATAAAAACAAAAACCACATCTTATGATCATCTTGTTTCAAACTGTGGAGCTCTTATGAAATAAAACAGGTACATAATTGAGAATATTCCATAAAATCTAAAAAATTCAACACAAACATGAGGGGTTTTTCGTAATTTGACCATATAGGGGTGGTTGTAATTTACCTTAAAAACTTCAAATATTATAAATAATAGTGGAGTCAAATTGAATAAATTTCAAAAT